TGATGCTCTGCAGCATTTCAGAATCTTGCAACAGTCTTTATCTCAGTTTATTTATGTCCTATGAACATAGAACTAAATAATTGACTGAAAGCTTCAATGTTTGTCCATCTGCCATTTCTTTTTATGTTTATTTTTTATTTTTCTTCTGTATGATGTTTTCTATGTTACTTTTTATTTGTTTTATTTAACTACACATTATAAGCAACACTTGTGTATTTCGAACGATTTTCATATGAAAGCTAAGTTTATATTTTTCTTGTTGAATTTATTGACTCCTCATCCGTCTTGTGGTTACCTGAACTGACTCTGTGTAAATAGTGACCATATTTTAATATAACTAACAGAGTTACCATCTCCAATTAAGTGACGGATGAGCTGTTTCCTCCCATTAAGCTGTGGCAGTTGTTATTCGGCCAAACATCAGTGAAGCAGCAAGATTTTCAATGAGTTGATGTACTCCAACTTGTACACTCTTTTGGTTGTGAGATAAAATTTATAGATGGATATTAATTTGGTGAATTCAGTTAGCATCAGGAGTGATGATAGAAGCACTCAGGGGTTAAGGATGAAAAAAAAAAAAAAAACTGCTAATCAATGAAATTTTGATGCTCGAGTTTTCCATGATATTCAGTCACAACTTTGAGTTTGACACGATTCAACTGATTGAATGTGGCATCAATACATATCAGAATTGACTATTTTGCCATATATAGTTGTATCATTATGTGTTTAAGTCCATACGTTTGTAATTTTTTATTTGCTCTATATATATGCTTTAAGCCCATGCACCATTGTATGAAACCCTGCAGGGAGATGATCCAGCACAGGCCATACACCCAGAAAGTGGATGTGTACAGCTTCGGGATTGTGCTGTGGGAACTCATCACGGGTATGCTCCCGTTCCAGAACATGACAGCTGTCCAGGCTGCGTTTGCCGTGGTCAACAAGGGGGTCCGACCCACCATACCCAACACCTGCCTACCCTCCCTGAGCCAGATAATGACCCGCTGTTGGGACGCGAATCCAGATGTCAGGCCCTCATTCGGCGAGGTCGTCCGTATGCTCGAGGCTGCTGAGACAGAGATCATGACAACTGTCAGGAAGGCCCGATTCAGGTGCTGCATGAGCCAGCCGATGACTGCTGATTGAGAAAAGAAAAAGGAAAAAAAGGTAATATATCTATTAGAAAATTTATAAAGGGGAAGAAAAGAAAGAAGGGTATTTTGTCTGCGTC